GTGAGGGGAAGGGAGGGGACTGACTGAGCTGGGGCTGGGACCTCAGAGAAGTCGCATTGGGCTGGACGCCCAGGGGCCAAGGCTACTTGGATAAATACTTCCTCCTGGGCTGCTGCCCCGCAGGTCTTGGGGTCAGGGCCCTGGGGGTGTCCTGGCAGGGGAGGAGGCGTCCTGACCTCCAGAAGCCCCAGGTTTATCCGACTCCTCTTGGGTTTGCTGCCAGGCTCCATCCCCGTCCATGCACCCTGTTGTAGAGCGAGGGAGAGAGTCTGTATAAATCCCCAAAGATGTCATAGGCTCAGACCTTCACCAAATTTAAAAACCCACTTCATTTTCAGTTGGATTGGGGCTTTTAGATCTTTTTTGTTGTGTGTGTGTGTGTGTGTGTGTGTGTGTGTGTGTGTTGTTTGTTTGTTTTAATCTTATATACATATTTCTTTCTGAGAGGTTGGAGTGATAATGGGGGGGGGGGGGGGCAGTAGCCCACTAGCCGCAAAAGCTGACCCTGCCCGTGGAGGTGAAATCCAGGGAGAGAGCCAGAGCCTGCAGACCATGGGAGCAGAGCCAGGACATTGGCCCACAGGCGAGGACAGTGCCAGGTGCCCAGAGGAGCAGTCAGGGGTCTTACTGGTTAAGGCATTAGTGACTGAGAAATTGCCAGCAGCTGAGTGAGGCTGGTGGGAGGCTTGGGGGTTAAAGTAGGCTGGTGGCAAAGGTGGATGATAAAGCAGTGGTGGCTGCTCATGTGGTTGGGTCAGTCTTCTAGGTCTCACTATCTCATTCTTTCAGAAGTTACCTCTGGAGGAAAAGCTCCCCTTCCTCCCCTCCTCTTACCCCCACTCCCACCCCCACCTCCTTCTGTTCTAACATCCCGCATCATACAGGGCTGGAGAGGGCCGGAGAGGTCAGGGAGCCTGACCGTTGTCCATGGTGCAGATGGGAAAGCTGAGACCCAGGAACGTGTCCCAGGTCACAGGGCCGGCTAGTGCCTGACTGGGATGGGAAGCCAGCTCCTGACTCTCAGCCCCCCTCGCCCTGCAGCCTCAGCCTGGGACCCACCCTTGCTGAGGGCACTGGAGCTGAGGCCTTCACTACAAATGCAGGGCCTGTGTCGGTGTATAAATGAGGGACCTGGGGGAGGGGAGGGGCAGAGGGAGGGAGCAGGCTGCAGAGTGCCCACCCGTGTCAGTGCGGCAGGAGTGACCTCAGAGCCTCTCCTTGTACCCCAGGTGTGCCTGTGCAGGTGCACGGGGGAGGGGACTCCCCTCAGGAATGTGGTCCTTTTGCAGCTGATGAGGGCTGGGGGCTTGGTTCCTACCAGTGGGCGGCTCTGGGAGCAGCATTTGGGAAACAGCCAAAAAGGTGAATGCAGAGACCCCACAACTGGCACCTTCCTTCAGGAGTGTGCCTTCCTTCAGGAGTGTGCCTGCACCTTTATCAGCAGAAACAGCACCTCAACCTGGATTCTGAGTCAGCGGGCATTCCTGCCACTCAGCTGGGCATTTAGTGGGGACATTGACTGGCTCCCTGGTTTTGTTTGCTCAGGCGGGGACTGCTCATAATCACCATTGCGCCAAGGCTTAGGGAGCAGCCCGCCGGAGATGTGGTTGAGCCAAGTGTCATGAAAGAGGAACCCCCGCCCAGATTTCCCTTTAATTCAGCCAAAGTGTGAACTCAAATCAAACCTTGAACAATAAAGATGACACCCCATTGAGATTCTGTATTCTGGGTCTGGGATATTCGTTTTATAAAACCAGTTCCGCTGTGTCTTTCCAACGCTTTCCCCTCCGTGTCAGCCCCTCTTCTCTCCATTGTAACTATTCAGTGATGGGGGAAGGCTAACAGCCTCAAAGATTAGAAATGTGATTAGCTCTGAGCAGTGGAACAGACGCAAACTGAAAGCATTTTCTTCAGGAACCTCATGACTGGGAGTTATCTCCACCGAAATGGGGCGGGGACAGATAGAGGCTGGTGGGTGGAGTCTGCCCTCCCTACATGTGCGCCCTGGGGGTGTCTCCCCGGGCAGGGGCCAGAGCAGCCCTGCACCCTCCCTGGGCTGCCCTTGACTGTTGTGGGTCAGGGGTACCAGGTGGAGATGGGGCCTGGGTGAGTAAGGAAGCAGGGAGTGATTGGCTTAAAGGCTGTCCCCTCCTTGAGCCCACGCAGGTGCCGTGGCAAGGCTGTGCCTGGCAGAGGGCTGGCTCTTCCCCCTTCTGCAAGTGTGCCCATCCATGTCCCAACCGGAGGCAAGCCAGAGGGGGTACCTGCAATACATCCCCTAATGTCAGTGAATTGGGGTGGGGAGGGTGTATTTTAAATGCTGACGTCAAACATATTCTTCATTCAACCTAAGATTATTTTCTAGCTGAAACCGTTTTCTAGCCAAAACCAGTTTGGCTCAGTGGACTAAGGGTCCCGGGTTCAATTCTGGTCAAGGGCACATAGGTTGGTTGCGGGCACATCCCCAGTAGGAGGCGTGCAGGAGGCAGCTGATCGATGTTTCTGACTATCTCTTTCCCCCTTCCTGTCTGTAAGAAATCAATAAAATATATATTTTTTTTAAATATTATTTTCTAAACATAGGGTTGTTTTTTTTAAGCTTTAAGCATTTGTTAATCCACTAAATGGGGAGATAGGGCCACAACATATAAAGAACATGTCAAGGACCATTAGCCCTCAACCCCGGCTGTCCTAGGAGCAGTGCCCTCGAAGCATTGTCTCCGGGCCGCAGGGCACAGCCTCCTCCGAGACCGAGTCTGAGCTTGGAGTCCCTCTCCCTCCAGTCCTCTCCCTGCCCCTGCTGCTCACCCTATAGTTGGGCCAGAACCAAAAATAAGCACTTGGGTAAAAAAATTTTGGGTAATGTCTAACCCATGAAGTCGCAACAGTGTGGTCTTGGTTTAGCTATGTGGGATGCATGTTTCAAAATGTATACCCCACATCACTGTTTTATTAAACAGAGTACGTGGACACATGTCACTTTCCTTAAGCACTCAGGCTCATTGTTGGGGCTTCCAAGATGGCATTAGGCCGAAATGCCACAGTTCCCGTGGACGTGGGTACCCTGTGTGCCTCCCTCTGCTATGGCCGCCTGGGCCCATCTCAGCATGTTCCCGGCGGGCCTTGCTCTGGGCAGCCAGGAGCCAGCGTGGGCCTTCTCCCCAGGAGGGGAGTGCCACTGCTCAGCTGATGGTCATGCACTCTCAACTGCTCTGAAAATAGGGTTTCAAAGAATGAGCTTCTTAGGATACGATTTTTTTTTTCAAATGTGGTAAAAGATATAGAACTGAATACATCCCAGTCATCCATCAAATAACTTTTTGTTCCATTTTTTTTTTTAATCCAGAAACTGTATGCTCTGGGGAGCATCAAAAATCCGTTTTGTTTTCATGTTTTCTGGCCCAGAATCTAAAATCAAGTCTAACGAGGTCAGTTTGGATGATCCTGGCACTCAGGGTCCCTCCCCAAGGGTGTGCACAGTCAGACTGCCCTTGAGGGTGGAGACCCAGAGGGGCTGGGCAGAAAATGGAAGCTGCTTTCCATCAAGGTTAAGGCACAAGCCAGGGGTCATTCTAGTTGACAGCATGCGATCTCGTGGAAATTTTCATCTCAAAGGGTGTCCAAGTGCTGCTCGGAAAATGTTACTTTCCATAATTAACCTCGTATGCAAAAAAATGGGACTCTGTCCCCACAGTGAGCACTTTCAGGGTCAGCAGCCTGAGGGTGACACTCCCCCTGTTCAGCCGCCAGTGGAGTCTTCCCTTTGATGTGAAGGCTCCCCCAGGAGAGCTGATGGTTGGCCCCTTCACGAACATTCTCGGGAAGATGGATTTCAGGCCCCAGTGAAGTCATAGGTGGTTTACAAATGGTCAGTCTCCACAGCGGAACCTCATCCAACAAATCATGCCCCAGAGCAGGGCTGTTCCGGCTCCCAGGACCACTAAGCAGGACCCCGAGATCACACCTGGGGTCCCATCACAAAGCATGGCCTAGGACAGGGGGAAGGAGGCATGATGGACACTTACTCCACAGTGAAAAGAGGATTAGGAACTCGGGTCTATAGGTATGAGGTCCAGGAGGCGGAAGTCGATCCCTTTTATTTTAATTTTTTTTGCAGAGAGGAAAGGAGAGGGATAGAGAGTTAGAAACATGGACAAGAGAGAAACATTGTCGATCAGCTGCCTCCTGCACACCCCCTACTGGGAATGTGCCTGCAACCAAGGTACATGCTCTTGACCGGAATCAAACCTGGGATCTTTCCATCCGCAGGCCAACACTCTAGTGACTGATCCAAACTGATTTTGGCTCAATCCCTTTTAAAAGTAGGGTGTGGGAATTCTTTTTCTTTTTTTAAGTTTTTAAAATATATTTTATTGGCCAGGACCGGTTTGGCTCAATGGATAGAGCGTCGGCTTGGGGACTGGAGGGACCCGGGTTCGATTCCGGTCAAGGGCATGTACCTTGGTTGCGGGTACATCCCCGGTGGGGGGTGTGCAGGAGGCAGCTGATCGATGACTCTCTCATCGATGTTTCTAGCTTTCTATCTCTCTCCCTTCCTCTCTGTACAAAATCAATAAAATATATTTAAAAAAAAAAATAAATAAATAAAAAATAAAATATATTTTATTGATTTTTACAGAGAGGAAGGGAGAGAGAGAGCAAACGTCAATGAGAGAGGAACATCGACCAGCTGCCTCTTGCACATCCCTTTACTGGGGATATGCCCGCAACCAAGGTACATGCCCCTGACCGGAATCGAACCCGGGACCTTTCAGTCCGCAGACCAACGCTCTACCACTGAGCCAAACCGGTTTCGGCAGGGTGTGGGAATTCTACACAGGGTCGTTTAGTTGCCTGTTTAGCCCAGATATCGACAGGCCGCCTGGGAGCCCGGACTCTGGGTGTTGCCTGGTGCTCAGAGAATCAGCCAGCATCGCGGGCTTCTGGGCTGACGCTGTGATCCTGTGATTTCCCAGGTGTGAGCCTGACGAGGAGCCGAGATGGGGAAGAAGCTGGACCTCTCCAAGCTCACGGATGAAGAGGCCAAGCATGTCTGGGAAGTGGTGCAGCGGGACTTCGAGCTGAGGCGGAAAGAAGAGGAGAGACTGGAGTAAGTGGGGCTGAGCCCCCGGAACCCGAGCCCGCCACACCCCGGGGCTCCCTGGGTGGGTGAGCGGCATCAGTTTCCTCCTAATTAAAACGAGGGAGCAACCTGACTTTTAGGTGGGCCTTAAGCAGTTTTATTTCAGCTTGATTTAGCTCCCAGGGTAGCGTTGTCCCCACACCGGGTGATGCTGGGGCCACCACAGTGCAAGAATTAACAGTGACAAAGGGGTAATGACTGGGTCCATTCTGAAGCACCCAAAAGTTGCGATCGAGGGGTTTGCAGTTGAGAAGTTTGCAGTCCAGGAGTTTGCAGTGGAGGCTGACTTCCCACCTTCCTTTTAGATAGCATGGGTGGCCCCCATCCAACTGCGTGAAAGCCCCCTGGCATTCTTAACTTCCCCCTTTTCCCCTTTGCATGTTCCTCCCAACCTCCCAACACTTGGTTCCAACGAGCTCCTTATTATCTTTTCTGGGTATTTTGGGAGGTTGGTAGCCTACTGAGAAGGAGACATTTGAGCAGACTCAAGGAGGTGAGAGAGTAGCCAAAAGAATGCCTAAAGGGGCTCCAGGCAGCACAGGGAGAGGAGGTCGTGGTGGCATCACGTGGGCTCCGTGGATCTTTACCGGACCTGGGTCTTGCTCTCAGGCCTCTGCTGACCTGGAGGCCTTGGAGCAGAGGACTAGCGGGACCAGACCTCCGCTCTACAGGCTGTGTGTTACTGAGCCGAAGTCACTTGTATTTTGAAGGGAGAGCCAGCAAATATGCCCTCAGATTGGATGCGGGGTGGAGAATATGGGAGAAGTCCAAGGTGACTCCAAGGTCATGGCCTGAGGAACTGAGAGGATGGAGTTGTCCCTCCCCTGGGGAAGGCCCTTGTTAGACCAGGTCTGGGAGAAAGCAGGTAACAGAGCACAGTAATTAGTGGAGATTGTGAAATAAAAAAAGCAAACATGCTCATTCCTTAGAGATCACTTCCCTGTCCCGTGTCTATGGACACAGCGTGTGGGCTCAAGGTCAGTTCACCAAGAGCAAATTTGCCAAAAGGTAACTTGCTAAGCAGATAACTTATGTATGCCAACTGAAAACAAAGACCAAAAGAAGTGTTTCTTTTCCTATTTACAGAGTTAACAGAAATAAGTATTAGGTGGATTTCTCCCCAAATAGGAGCGTCTGTCCCCTGGAAAGGATATTGGGCAGGTTTGGGGGAGACCTGGCAACTCCCTGCACTGTGAGATCAGTGGACCTCCCGACATTGACAAATGAGCTTGCCCAGGTCCCTGACATAGAAGGCCATGGGGTTGTGAGACCCGTTTCACTAACCCCTGTATGACCAGACTGTCCCCAAGACACAAAGCCTTTTGTGTCTGGGGCCAGGCCTCAGGCTCCCCAGACTGTGTCAGAGACGTTCAAAGTCCCCCTGGGTAGAGAGGCGGGAGGCCTTGGTCCTCTCCACCATGAGCCCCCTAAGTGAATCCCTGTTTATTCCAGGGAACAGGGTTGCCAACAGCACTGACCTCGTTGTGCCTTTCCTCTGAGCTGCCAGGAAGGAATTTCCCTTGGGGTTTGGCTCCTGAGTGGCACGGCCCCTGGCAGGCAGCTTCAGGAAGTGGAGGAGAAGGAAGTGGAGGCCACCTCGCCTTTCCCTTAGCCCAGGCAGATAAAATCTCTCCCTGAAGTTGGCGTCTTCTACCAGGGACCTGGGAGTGGGGTGTTTACTGTACAGGGCGTGATGTTCTTCCTGGCTTCCCAGCAGGTTATAGTGCTGGGCACCAAATAATAAAAAATTTAAAGATGTACAAGATTTGAACATTACCAATGTTGGCATCAGAAGGATTTAGGATAGAATCTGGGCAGGGCGTTGCCAATGGGGACGTGGGTCTTGCTGTGGATGAACTTTGAATCTTAGAACAGGGTTGACATTTGTGGGAGAGAACGGACATCCTGATGCCAAGTCCGTTGCCCGGTGCAGGGCTTGGGCTGTGAGCCATGGGTGCGGCCACCTGTGTGAAGAGGGACTGTGACAACAGAGGCTTTGCTCAAAGGGGCTCCTCCATATTTGATGCTCCAGTGGCATTGGCTTCCCTGTCCTGCGGGTGTATGATGTGCTGGAAGGAAGCAGCTAGGGGGGAAGGGCATGGAACAAGTGAGGTGATTCCAGCCTCTGATGTAAGAAACCAGCTACTGAGAGCAGAAGGCTTTTTGGGAAAGGAACATTCTTGCTGCTCACGTTCTCTTTAAATCCTTCCTTCCCCCGTGGGATTTAGTTCTTGTGGAGAACATCAGCTAATCTTGGACAAAGAAACCTTGAGAAAGAACGAAGTGGGAGGAAGCAAGCTCCCTGGTTTCAAAATGTACTACAAAGCTACAATAATCAAAACAGCATCATACTGGCATGAGAATGGGTGTACAAACCAATGGGATAGAATAAGGAGCTCAAAAATAAGTTGGCACTTACATAGTCAATAAATCTATGACAAAAGAGGAAAAACTAGACCAACCTTTTACACCACATACAAAAATAAACTCAAAATGAATTAAAGACTTAAATGTAAGACTTGAAGTCATAAAATTCCTAGGGAAAAAAAAATAAGCAGTAAGTTCTTTGATATTGGTCTTAGTAATATCTTTTTGGATATAACTCCTCTGGCAAAGGAAACAAAAGAAAAATAAACAAATGGGACTACATCAAACTAAAATGGTTTTTGTCCAGCAAAGGAAAATATCAACAAAGGAAAAAAAATCTAATAAATGGGAGAAGACATTTGCCAATAATACATCTGCTGAGGGGTTAATATATAAAATATATAAAGAACTTGTACAACTTAACACCAAATTTAAAAAAAATCCAATAAAAAAATGGACAGAGGACCTGAATAGACACTTCTCCAAAGAGGACATACAGATGGCCAATAAACATAAGAAAAGATGCTCAACATCATTAATCATCAGAGAAATGCAAATTAAAACCACAATCAGATATCTCCTCACACCTGTCAGAATGGCTATCATCAATAAATGAACAAACGACAAGTGTTTCTGAGGATGTGGAGAAAAGGGGACCTTCGTGCACTGTTGATGGGAATGCAGACTGGTACAGCCACTGTGGAAAACTGCATGGAAAGTCCTCAAAAAATTGAAAAGAGAGTTGCCATTCAAGCAAGTAATAATACTTCTGGGTATTTATTCAAAGAAAAAAAAACACACTGATTTGAAAACATATATGCACCCCTATATGTTCATTGCAGCATTATTTACAATAGCCAAGATATGGAAGCAACCTAGATGCCCATCAATAGACAAATAGACAAAGATGCGCTACATACTCACAATGGAATATTATTCAGCCATGAAAAAGAATGAAATCTTAACCACTTACGACCAAATGGATGGACCTAAAGTGCCAAGTGGCAGGATTGTGCTAAGTGAAATAAGTCAGAGAAAGACAAATATCAGATGATTTCACTTCTATGTGAATTTTTAAAAACGAATAAACAAAACAGACATCATGTTGATGGTTACCAAAGGAGAGGGTGGTGCGGGGTGGATGAAAGAAAAAAAGTAATAAAATAAAATAGCCACCATACCTCACAACACCTCATTTACTGCTCAGACAACACCACAATGTGACTGCTGTGTTCTCCCCAGTGTCAGAGGAGGACACTGAGGACTAGGCGGTCCCGGGTCTAAAGAATACCCAGGGATTGCTCACAGTGGGGATATGGGTGGGACCCTTTGTATTATTTATCTTATGAGTGTTCTGCAGTCATTCGTGTTAACTGAGTGTTAAAAAGGCTTTAAGTACAGATGGATAATCATGTTTCATGTTTAATGGCACATAAACACAAAGGAGCACCAAGGTAAACTTCTTGAGGGGAGCATCCAGTCAGCTGACCCACCTTCTTAACCCGCTTCATCCGGAAGACCTAAAGCTCCATGGTAGCCCGCCAGCCTGGACCTGGGGCAGAAGCAGGCCTCCGGCTGGGGCCCACGTACTCACAGCTGACCTTCGCCCCGCCTTCTCTCTGCTCAGCTGAGGTCCTCCAGTCACTCTCCCTGTGCTGTCCAGGGGCTTCTAAACTGGGTTTACAATTACTGGGTTTTCCTAAACCCAGAAAATAACATTGCAGAGCAGGAGCTGGGGACTCACGCGCCTGGGCAGGATGGCAGCTTCCCTAAGCGACGCCTTGTTTCAGGGGCTGGCCCACAAGTCAAATATTAGGCCTGGGAGTCTGCCCCAAAAAGGCAAACAGCTGGTGGCAGGCATCTGTAATGTCTGTAAACAGGCCTGCGTTCCTGAGATAACCATGAAACATGGCAGACGGTGGCGTACCTTAAAAACAAATAATAACAATGACAACAATAAAGAATTGGATGTTACCACTAGGCGGGCCACTTGGCACCAGACAGGACTCCAGGGCTGAACAGACAGGGACTGGAGCAGGGAGTGAGCAGGCAGCAGGGCCCGGAGTTTGGTGCATGATCCATTGCTCAGGAGGTTCAGGGCTCTCAGTGCCTCGTTCGCCGCCACCACTGTTCCCATCTTCATTTTTGTCGCTATCAGCCAGTCTCTTCAGAGGACCTCAGAGAGCGCCAGCAAGTCCCATTTCCCACACTGATTCCCTGCGTCTGCGCGGGTGCCAGGGACCTGGAATCCCATCTCTGCTGCCCAGTATTGACTGCACCAGGTCTGCCTCCTTCAGCGGCGACCACTGGCAGGCAGGTTTCGTGCGGTCGCCTTACTTTTAATAAATCCGTCTCTTCTCTGTGACTTGGTTCTCTGGGCTACAGCCCCCTCCTTGGGGTCAGACTTGACCCATGAGAAGAACTCAGCCACCATAGCCAGCTCTGTAGACAGAGAAAGGGCCAGACAGAGGATACAGGAGCCTTGGCAGCTGGGAAGAAAGAGGACAGGACCCAAAGCCTCCAAGAAGGATCACAGTCCTGCCCACAACTCCATCGCAGCCCAGGAACACCCAGGTCAGATCTCTGATCTCAGAATTGTAAGGTAATAAGCTGGTGTTGCTTTAAGCCACTACCTTTGTGGACATGTGTTGGAGCAGCCACTGTAACTGCGTGGCTGTGTCCAGGTGTGTGTGGCCAACAAGAATCGGAAGGTCCAACTCCTCTTGTGTCCTGGTCGGGAGAGCGCTCCTATGTTCTCAGGTGGTGGCTGTCCTAGGGCAGGGCCGAGACTCATGCCCACCCAGCAAAGCTGTGCAGAGAACAGCCAGCTCATTTGTTACCTACCTCACCTCACCTCCCCGCCCTCAGTCAGCAAGAACTCCTAAGCTTGTGGGGTCCATATCTCAGGCGCTGCTCTGAAGATCTCTGGGTGCAGTCTTCTCTCTCAGAGCCCCTCGTCCCCACCCCTGCTTTTGGCCAAGTATGCGTGGTCCCCACCCTGGAAGCAGACTTGACCCTCAACTCTGCATCAGGGACCAGCCAGGAGCCAGTGGACAGTGTGTGGAGCCAAAATCCCATCAACTCTGTCCCTTTGAGGGCCATGAGCCCCCGCCGGTAACACACGCAGACTTGGCCAAAAGCCACTGGATTCAAATCCGAGATAGGGAGACCAAGGACATGGGGGTGTGACATCTCCATGCCCCTCTAACCTTCTCCCTCCACATCCAGTCCCTTCCTCCTCCTGACTTGGGAGGTGAAAGGGGGAATCCTTGCATCAAATCACCTGCTCTCGGCAGACGGCAACCCTTTGATACTAGCCTCCTTCCATCTCAGCCTGGCTCTTTGTCTCCTGCTCCTTTGTCTCTCGCCCTAATTAGCACACCAGGCAGACCTTTTCAAGTCCTCCTCAGTTTCTGACAGTGAATCCCATTGGAGGTGTCTTCTATTCTAGAAGGTGGTTCTCAGTTGTAGCTGTATGTTGAGCTTTTGCCTACTGTAGTGCAGAGACATCTGGTCAACCGGTGTCGGCGTGTGGTGGCTCTGGCCCCACTCACCTCCTCCCAATCTGAAGTTCCAGGTGGGGTTGGTGTGTCCTGCGCTGCAGGCATCATCACATGGGGTTCTTCTGTTGCACCCCCACGGGGCCTCCTGTTCTCCAGCTCTGAAGAAGGGATGTAATGCTTGAAAGAGTCTGAGTGAAATATAACTATCTTTCCCCCACAAAATGTATGTCTCCAGCCAACCCTACCCCCACCACCCACACAGGATGCCTCCATATCCTCTTGTCTTTCTTCCTGCTGGGAGGGGACAGGGTACAGCTCTGCCTCAAAGGCGAAGGGGTTAAGCCAGACCAGGTAAGGCCCCATCTGCAAAGGGGTGGCCTCTAGGTTTTCTGGCTGATGCAGACACAGCAAGAGTGGAAATGGGGGGGAGAAATTTTTTTTTAATTAAAAAAAAGAAAAGAAAAGATTTTCAGGATGATAATGACAACAATAATAGAAGCTACCATTACTGAATACTTACTGATGGTCAGCATGTGCTAGGTACTGTATGTATATTATTTCCCTTACTTTTTACAATAACCCTCAGAGGATGCATATAGCAGGCACTTACCTGTTAAATATTTGTTGCAAGAGTGAACAAACTACTATTGGGGGGGGGGGGGGAAGAATGCAAATAGAGGCCACCGGATCCTTCCTTCCTGGTTCCAGGTGCTTGTGATCTTCTGTTTGAGGCAAAGACTCGGCCTTGTCCATGCAGCTTTATTAAGACTGTGGTCAGTGGATGACAGTATCCCCCTAGTTTTATAAACACTTGGCCCTTGTGTGTGTATGTGTATATGTGTGTATGTTTATGTGTGTGTGTATGTGTGTGTGTGTTGTGTACGGTTTCAAAGCTGAGTCAGGAGTCTTACTTTTGTGTCTAACTTGGTGAGTATTTTCATATCAGTGGGGAGAGGGAAATCGATGAGGTGCGGTCAACCCCACCTTATCCAGCGCTGGTCTGCTGGTCTCCGGAGCTCCTCGGAATCCCTCCATTGTCCACACCCTAACCACTGCCCCATCAAAAGCCACCGTGCAGCCTCCTCAGAGGAAAATAGCACTGTGTCTGTCCAATTGTGTCACTAAGAACAGATTCATTTGATCTCATCTGAAACTGAAATATTATATCTGGCAGACGTCCTCTGAGGTAGAACAAAGGGGACAAGTTCCCAGGCAGTTTGAGTTGGCGGGTTCATGAGGAAGCTGTTTCTGCAGCCCCGATGGTCTAGGACCAGAACCATTGGGTTGATCCCTGCCAGGCTCCCCAGAGCCACCAACCCACCCCATCTCAGGCAGACTAGACACCAGATGCTCATGACCATGTCCACGCTCACCCAGCCAACCAGGACACCTCAGCTCGGTCCCCCAGCTCTGAGCTCTGCATTCGCAAGCTCAGGGCTCCGGCTCAGAACTGGAGAAGGAACGTGGACCCAGGACCTCCAACCTGAATGTGGGCCCAGGATCCCTGACCGTCTCTTTCTGTTATGCTAAGCTACATGAGGTGGTGCAGGCAATGGTGGGACCTGCCCCAGCCTGTGACTCAGAACTTTTGTGGTTTGTGGCTCCTTTGACAACCCGTGAAAGTCAAGCATGTGCATCCTGGGAAAATACACAATTGTAAACAGTCACAGAAAGGTTTAAATGCCATTTCATGTCTGTAAAAATAAGTTCCCCCTGCTCCTATTGCACGTTTGAACGCAGCGTGTTAGTGAGTGAGAAGGTTTCCGTGTCTGTGCTCACACACTCGAAGACTGTTGCAGAAAGGTGTCCAACCTGTTCCCTTTCTCTGCTGTTCCCTAAGGGGGCTGAAGGGCAAGGTGAAGAAGGAGAGCTCCCAGAGGGAGCTGGTCTCCGACGCGGCCCACATGAACGACACCCACTGTGCCCACTGCCTGCAGCCCTACCGGCTGCTGGAGGGCCCCAAGCGACAGTGCCTGGACTGCCGCCTCTTCGCCTGCCAAAGCTGCAGCCACGCCCACCCCGGGGAGGAGGGCTGGCTCTGCCACCCCTGCCACTTGGCCAGGTGAGCGGGGCCTGGAGATCCAGGACCCTGATGGTTTTGAGGGGTGGCTTGTCCCTTTTGGGGGCGGGGGGAGTGGCTATCTGAAGAAGGGTGGGCACGTGTGCATGGTGGTTGGGCACAGCAGTGCCTCAGGCCTGGGCTCCATCTCTCCGCAGAGTCGTGAAGATGGGCTCCCTGGAGTGGTACTACGAGCACGTGAGGGCCCGCTTCAAGCGCTTTGGAAGTGCCAAAGTGATCCGGTCCCTCTGCGGGCGGCTGCCAGGGGCAGGTGAGGAGTGGGTGAAGGGAAGGGTGGGATCTGGGGAACCCATTTTGCTCCCAGGCATGATTCACTGTTTCAGGGCCACGCGGACTGCTTTGGCACCTGTGTCTGAGCACCTGTCGGTCCCTGTGTCTGCTGTTGTGATGGGGTGGGCTGCTTGCTGAGTGAGTGCAGCCTTTTGCACCCGGGTCTGGCCTGGTCCTGGGAGGTCCTGCACGTTGACATCCCCACCCTCTGAAATCGTGTTTTCTCATAGCTCTGTAGCAAGTGCAGAACTCATAGCCAACTTCTCAAACTCGGCAGCTGCTGGAATTAGCTGGGCCCTAGTCCGTGCTTTGAGTCCCTGGGTCCTCTCTCCCTGGGTGGAGTATTTGGAGGGGTGACACATTGATAAATCCTCCAAACCAGGACATTTTTAAGAGTAAGGGTGGCCTCCTGACAACCACGCTGAGACCACAGACATGGCTCGGAGTGCCCCAGCCACACGGGAGGGATTGTCACCCTATTCTTGGGGGTTCTTTCTTCTTTCCTCCTCAAGCTGCTTCTTCCGGAGCTAATATCTTTGTCTCAAGCTGGAGCCCACCAAAGTCCCACCTCCCATGCCCGCTCAGCTAGCCAGGAGCCAGCCAAGGGTCTTCCTGCAGCCAAAGGAGCTTGGCCGCAGAGGGCAGGGTCAGGACAACACAGGAAAAGCCACACTGCAAAGCATCTGAAATCTCACTCCCAAAGTTGGCTGCTCGTGACTTTGGGGAAGGAAACCACAGGCCACATCAGAGCCTGCGGACCTGGGCCCCACCATGGGAGGTGCTGATTGCCAGGGACCTGGTAGTCTCAAGAGTCTGTATGATGCAGAAGGTCTCAAGGTCCAGACCTCAGTGAGTTGAGTCAAAGGGCTAGGAACCTGCCAATTTCAAAACTGTGACCGAAAGCCAGGAGGTGGCGCTGTGGGGCAGCAGGATCCCTGCTTCCAGCCACAGCAGAGGCTCCTGGCCCCAGGGAGGCAGGACTCAGGTCCCTACAGTGACATCCCCAAGGACTGCATCTCCCTGCTGGGGGCCCAAACACAACCCTCTGAAAACGGGTGCAGGGAGGAAGCACAAGGCGGGGGGAGATGTATGGCTAAGAAAAGTAGACAAAGAAATTACTGCAGTGCCAGCCAGGATCTGCTGCAGACTCTGTGCAGCTCTGGGGGCGCCCTGGGTCTGCCGAGCAGCCCTTTCCCAGAGGCCCCAGGACTGGATGGCAGGGGCAGCGGGAAGCAGTGGGGGGGGGGGGGGGAGAGTGAATGGGAGGAGCCCCCTCTCTCCTGTCCTTGAGCTCACAGATCCCCGCAGGGTGTCTTTCTTCTCAACCTCTTCTCTTTGGTTGTAGGTTTGTCTGACAGAGCACAGAGCTTGCCCAGTGTCCACAGTAAGTCCTTCTTGTTCAGACATTTTTATCTTCATTTTCAACTCCCTACCAAGAAATCTCTGTTCAGGTCAGGAACGTGGGAAATCCTTTGGGTTTCTTTAACCACGACTCAATAGCCAGAGGTTAATATCAAACCCTTGTCCCAGGTGTAGAGGGATATGTAAGGGGCTGATAACCACAGGGTCATGGAGATGCTGCTCATATTGAAGCAGAGGGGCAGGGACACCACCCTGACCGGTCACACACACACACACACACCTGGGCCTTTGGAAACCACGTCCACATCCCCTCGATGCAGACAGAGTCCACGTCACAATGCCCTCTGTCTGGCTGTTTGGCTTGAGTTTCAAGACTGTCACTATTCAGAGAGGGGCCACCAGCTGGCTGGCTGGTGTTCACCTCTGGGGGCAGAGGAGGGGCAGAGAAAGGAAGAAGGGCCTGGGGCTGAGCTTCATTCCCTTCCAGCTGTGCCCGAGGCCGGGCCTGCAGATAAGCAGGGGGAATGAGACTGTGGGAGAAGTGGTTTGTTTGGGGAAACAAAAATTAGCTCTAAGCCTCCCTCAAGGGGTGGTTGACTGTGGGGTGAATACCTACAGGTGTGATCCTATAACATTAATTCAGAGCACTGGTTTTCTGCTATGATGAGGACATCAGCTTTAACTGATGCTTGGATAGGTCATTGTAAAGTCAACATAGGGCCTTGCCTGGATGTTTGTGATAGATGGATGGTGAATGGAAAATGGATGGATGGTGGATGGAAAATGGATGGATGGTGGATGGGTGGATGGATGGTGGATGGATGGTGGATGGGTGGGTGGATAATGGATGGATGAATGAATGGGTGGGAGGATGGATGTGAGGAGGGGGGTAGACAGAGGGTTTGCCTCCAGTCTATCTCTCCCTAAACAGAGTCATGCAGGTGTCTGTTACAGGTGAGCCTGAGCCAAGCCCTGGAGAGGGAAGTAGAGACAGTGAGAGTTCCAATACGGATGGAGAGCTGGACACAGGGGCTCAGGCCCATCCCCTTGGCAGCAAAGTAAGTCTTCCCCCACCGCTCCCGGAGCTGCAGCCTTGGGCTCTGACTTCCTAAAAACCCCAGTGTTCCCATGACTCCACTATAGCTGAGCGCTAAGACTCCACATCCCTTTGCCACGCCTGGACCATCTCTGAGGGCCAAAAGCACCAGATAGAAGAATACTTTCAGCAGAAGGTCACCCTCACCATAAGAAACCTCTAGCAAGCCATAGGTGGGCAGAGGCTGCAGAGAAGGCTGCCTAGACCCCCAGACCTGCCTGGCCCTTGGCCTCAGCCCCTGGAGCAATGGTTGGAAGGGCAGGGGCAGAGGGCACACTGGGGTCATCCTAAGATGGCCTTTGCACCTTTCAGGGATGTAAATCCCTCAAACTGTGAACTTTTTTGCTCTTTTCTAGGACAAAACATGAGCCTTATTTCTTATTGGTGTTTGTTTCTGTTTTCACTTGTTTTTAAATTTATTTATGGAGATAAAGACACGCAAAGTAACCCCCAGGGTTTCTGGGTAGGATGATGGAAGAGGAGCCGTTGAAGGGGAGCAGGTGGGAGGAGCAGGTTGGAGGGAGGGGTACAGCAGGCGATGATGAGTATGGACGTAGCCACTAGGAGAGCCGCAATGCCAGGTCGACCGGCTGCTCTGGGGGAATATATGCATCTGTTTATGACAAAAGTATGTTTGCGCCACTTACTAACCTTTCAGAACACTCCCCAGTGTCTGCACGCTTCCCTACACATCCATCTGAAGGATGGAAACCATCAGGGGTTAGCTCTGACCTTGCATCTAAGGTGCACAAGTTCTCCCTCTCCCCTTTGCCTCCCCCTTTTGCCTAAAACCCCAAGGGTGGGAAACCCGAAGCTTACCTGCCCCCAAGGCTGCAGCCTTCCGGGGCCTGTGTCCTGGGCAACCGCGTGTCCATCAGCAGCTTCCTCTCATCTCTGTGAGGGGTACTGGGCATGCAGACCCTGTGAAGGGTGGGGGGGCTCTGGGCAGACTTTTGATGTGGCTTCAGAGCTGGGGCTCATCGGGTTTGTTTTAGGGCCCTGGGGTAAGGGGCGTCCAGTCCTCCCTGTCCACTGACCGCACTCTCCTCTTGCCCAGCCTGTGCCCGCCAAGAAGAAGCGCCTCCTCCCCATTCACAGCCTGGACTTTGAGGAGGACTCCGACGACTCCGAGGGGTGTTACGGTCACCCCCCGAGCCTGTCCTCAGTCCCAGCGGCCCCGGACAGCCTGCAGGTGAGTGGGCTCTCCTTCCTGCCCACCCCTCCTGGGAGCCGCAGGTCAGGGACGGGATCCAGCAGGCTCTCGGGAGAGGCTGAGCTGGCAGCATCGCTATGGGGGGGCAGGGCAGTTGAGTGAGGGGCATGGGGCGTTCAGGCTGGGCGCTTGTCCAGGAAGTAAGGCCCAGCCCACTCACTCGGGAGGGCAGACAGAGGACTGGCATCTGCCCAGGAGTTGGACGTGCCTGGACCTCCGAGTTATTAGTGGGGTCATAGGCTTATTGCCCAAAGGAGGCTGGTCCTACGTGGAGGAGCTGCCGTTAATAATCACAGCAGCGCTGAGGCCCCGCAGGGCCCACCCAGCAGCCAGGACAGGTGGTCACTCTGCTCTTCAGGTTTGTGACCTTGGTCTGGGGACCCTCCGTGAGGCTCCGTACCCCACCACCTGAGAGGGCCGGCCATCTCCCTTCACAGGGTCACTCTCAGGACCAGAGGCTGTGCCAGTCACCCATAGGGCACATGCAGCTTGGGCACAAGACCCAGAGCGACGCCCAGCTTCAGCAGGATCCCTGAACTCGGGGTCCCCTGGGCTCAGGCAGTGCCCAGCCACAGGCCACAGAGGTGGCCTGCCCAGGCTGATTGGCACACCTCTGTTGGGGACAGGCCAGCAGGGTGGGGAGCCAGCACCCAAGAGGCCTTGGGCCATGGGTCCTGCTCCAGCTGCAATTCTGGGGGTACAGTTTCCCTTTCCTATGGCCTCCAGGGCCTGGGAGGACTTTCTTCCTGCCCCAAGCTGGAAAGGAGTGGGGGCATGTGGCTCCCTGACACCTTCAACATCCCTTTTTCCTTGGGGACCAATGGCACAGTTGAGGGAGACTTCTGCAGGCCTCAGGAAGGGTAGGGGAGGGGTGTAGGGCTCACAGCCAAGGGGCTGCCCCACCCCCACCCACTCTTGCCTCTCTGACCTTCAGGAATTATTAAGATGGACACAGAACCACACACACACACACACACACACACACACACACAGGAAACTTCCCACCCACTTCCTCAGGGCTTTGGTCTGGGTGGGTCTAGGCCCCGAAAGCTGTTGGAAGAGTTTCTGTCTCCTTGTGTGCTACCTGGCCCAGCATTCAGGCCCCCACCTCCTTCCCTGGAGACAGGATGCAGAATAGGCCGTGAAACTGAAGGGACCTGGGATGTCAGGGCCAGAGGGGAGGTGTGTGGTGCTCGGTCAGCAGACGGCGCCGGGAACCCCTCCGGATGTGCACTGCACAGACCCACACGCCAAGGAGCTGGCCCAAGTCCAATCCTCCCAGCGGTTGACAGGCCCCATGTGCTCAGGCCCTCACAGGTGAGCCCTGCTCGGAGGAGGCAGCCTCCCAGGAGGCCGTGGTCCTGCAGGAGGCTGATGCCAGGGCCTCTGGGGGCCACCCCCACTCAGAAGAGCAGACAGACATCCTCTCCCCTGCCGGATGGGATGCCCGCACTGAGCTCTGCCTGCCAGGAGAGTCCTGCCCAGGAGAATCATTGCCACTGGGAATCATTGCCACTCCTGGTAGGTGGCCTTGGCCGCTGTCTTCCGTCTGGGCTCTGCATGGTGGAGGGGTTTCTGGAAGCCCTGCCCGCCACCCCACGTTGGGCAGACACACTGGCTGGTTTAAAGCAGGCCTTTCCTTCCCTGTGATTGGCGGGCATGAGCAGGCCTGGCAAACCTCATGGATTCCTGCTTCCCCCACACACCCCCTCCCCCAGCTGCGTGTGCCCCTTGCAACACTCAGGTAACCAGCATTGACCCCCGACCTGACCACACAGCTGCTGCCACCTTTAGTTATTTTTTGTTTGTTATTTTTAAATCCTCACCCAAGGATATTATTTAATTGGTTTTTAGAAGAGAGGGAGGGGGAGAGATGGAGAGAGAGAAATATCAATTGATTGCCTCCTGCATGTGCCCTGACCAGGACTAGGGGTAAAGCTTGCAACTGAGGTATGTGCCCTTGCCCGGAATCAAACATGGGACCCTTTGGGCTTTGGGCTAATGCTCTATCCACTGAGCCAAGCCCCCTAGGGCTCACGGCCCCCTTTACAGAGGACATTGTGGCAGGGCAGGGACATGCAGGTCTTCCTGAAACAACAGACCGATGGTCACTGGACCAACCGTCCTGACCGGGACCGGGCATCTCACAGCTGAGAACTCAGGGTGCCGCTGGGGACCCATGGGGCAGTTCCATGGGGGTGACACCTACCTGGTCCCTCATGAATGGGGAAGTCTGAAAGTGCTGAGAACACAGATTCGCTCGATTGAATTTGTTGCCAGACAGTTTGCTTCCTAATGAAATCCTAAAGCATTGTCTGTGCCTGTGGGGGTGCGCGTGCAGTCAGAGTCAGACTCCCTGCTGACGTCGGGCAAATAAGATCACACAGCAGCACAGCCTTCCACAAACGCGGCTGCGCAATGTGGTTAGGACACCGTCCTCTTTCCGTTCTCCCTTTTCATTATATTAAAGAGACCATAATCTCATGAGCCACACACCCGCTAGGACCCTGCAGGCATTGGGCGGGGAAGGCGAGCTAAACAAGGAGTAAGTGAATCTACATTGACTGAGCATGCAGACTGTGACCCACTCATCTCCTCCCGTGGTCCCTAATCACCCAAGTGTGTGCTCGGTGGCGGGGTGGGGCTGAGGGACAAGCAGGGGAGGTAGGAGGACTGTATCAGGCTGAGAAAAGGCTCTTGGGAGGCCTGCCATTCTGGGTCAAGCCCAGCGCTGCAGCCCCCTACCCTACCTCAGTGACGCGAAGACACATTCCCCATCTTCACACTGGGAGCAGGCCGCAGGGCGCGTGGTAGAAAAGGTGTGTGTGGGAGTGCGATGGGCAAAATTATCACTTTCCTAATAGAGCATCAAACCACTGCACGGTCTGGGATTTGATGGAAAATGGCGTGCAACTCGACCAAGCCGCTCAGCCCCCGGGCCTCAGTGCCCTCACTGTGAAAACGGTTACAGTGCCTAAGTCACCCACCATTCTAGGTATTGAGAAGGCCGTGCCTGTTCACTAATGCTGGTAACAGATTACACAAACGTACCAGCTTAAAACAGCACACGTTGGGTATCTCGCTGTGGCCAGCAGTCCTGGCTCCATTATGTCCTCAGTACAGGGTTTCGAGGCTGGAACCAGTGTCAGCAGGGCTGGAGCAGCTCCTGCGCCCGGGCCCCAATCTCATTCAGATTGTGAGCAGAACTCACACGGCCGCCCCAGCAGATACAGAAGTAGTTCCTGCACACATGACTCTCCCACGCAGTGTTGTATGCAAGGTGCTGTCCACATGAGGGTCAACCAGGTGGGCCGTGGTGAGCCCTGGGCCACCTCTGTGTCCTGAAGTTTCTTGTTGGAACTTAGTCTGGTTGAAGGGTCTCAGCCCCATATCATCAAGAATATAATCACGTCCGTGGTTGCTCCAATCTCTCATTTTTCCGTTGGAAAAAATGTCCATTGACTTTCAGTCTCTCACCCCCAATAATCCAAACCCACTGTCCCTCCCCAGGGGTGAGCATTGTCAGGAACGAGCAGCTCCCCTCACGGTACCTGGCCGCGATGGACACCTCTGATGAAGACAGCGTACAGGCCCGAGAGGCAGCCTCCCACCTCTCCACTCAGAGCGGCCGGACCTCACCTGCGAGCCAGGTACGGGGTGTGGGAAGACTCCTGGTAGCTTCTTTGAGTGGAGCTTTTTCATCTTATACCAAGTCATAACAGAAATCACAGCGTTCCATACTTTAAAAGCTATAAGATTGCACAAGCCTACTTAACAGAGATGAGTGATGTCATCAAAATACATGTGTGTGTTCCCTTGGTGGAGGGGTTTCTGGAAACCCTGCCCCACCATCCCAATTTGGGCAGACACTCCTAGCCCCTCCTCCTACCCCCCCCCCCCCCCAGCCCCAGCCACCACCCATCTGCCTTCCTGTCTATGGAATCATACAACGCAGGACCCTTTGTGACTGGCTGCTTTCTGCTTTTGAGTTCATCCTCATTGTAGCAAAGGTCAGAACTTCATTCCTTTAAGAAAATTCAACTTGGCCCTAGCTGGTTTGGCTCAGTGTCTAGAGCATCACCTGCAGACCAAAAGATCCCAGGTTCAGTTCCAGTCAAGGGCATGTACCTTGTTCGCAGGCTCCTCCCGGAGCGCGTGCAGGAGGCAACCAATCGATGTGTTTCTCTCACATCAATGTTTCTCTCTTCTTTCCCCCTGTCTTCCACGCACTCTAAAAGATCAATGGAAAAATATCCTCAAGTGAGGATTAACCAAAAGAAAAGAAAATTCAACTTAAAGTACGTAAGCCCTAAATTAGTGAGAACTGCTCACATAAAAACACCAATTTATGACGTAGTTCATCCATCACAAGGTTCCTTTGGTACCACAGGTTCCTTTCACTGAAATTAAATCACAAGCCCGTTTACAGACAACTGATGAGAACAAGCAAGTACATTTCATTGGGGGAAAGGCAATGCTGTTTCAGAGGAGAACATCGTGACCTGCTAGGCTGATTCTGACTCACCAGTCTCGGATGGGGCCCTGACTTCTATGGAAGAAATTGTGGGGTTGGGGCCATTTTGTAACTGATGACTCTCGAAGCATGGAACCCAGATGGGGTAAATGGGCCCTGTTCTGGATGGAGAATCCTGAGCCACAGCTGCCCCGAGGCTGGTCTCACGCACATCTGCAGAGCCTGGATTGGTGCAGGTCTGGCTTCCTCCACACGCTGGTGCCTGGCACAGAGCCCCCTGGGAGCTCTGGAGGGTGCCTTTGTGGAGCTCCCCTCCTGGTGACTCATAGGCCAAGCTCTGGGCTGGCAGGCGGAGAGGATGGCCAAATGTTCAGCAGGAGAGTCCTCCCCTGGGACAGAGGCCTCCTTGGGATAGAGACCTCCCCCAGAGGAAAGAGACCTTCCCCCAGGAAAGAGACCTTCCCCCAGGATAGAGATCTCCCTCCTGGAATAGACATCTTCCCCAGAATGGCGAGCTCCCCCTGAAATAGAGACTTCCCGTGTAGAGTCCTCCCCTGGGAACCGAGGCCTCCCGGGATGCAGCCCTCCCTTAGATAAAGCCCTCCCTGTGACAGAAACCTCCTGGGATAGAGACTTCCCATGTGGCAGGACCACAGTGGTAGAGGATCTCCCAGTCTCCTAGTCAGAAGACAATGGGATGAAGACTAAAATTAAATTGTCAATTTTCAGTAGGTTTTTGATTTAGCAACCTTAGTAACTTTCTGTAAAATACATACCCCAGCTGGTACTAACTAACTGTCCTGTAAGCCACCTTGAATTATTCTGGCTCATGCTTGTATCTTATCTCTGGAAATTTTTCTTCATTTACTTCTATCAACTCTATGTACTTCGACTAACATCTCACCTAGAATGCGTCTTTATATCAGGGAAACCGGGCAGCAGGAGGCAATGCTCCCAAATGCAGCCACATCAGCTGCTCTGGGGCCGGGATGGGGGGCCCTCTACCTCTGCCTGCAGAGCAGCCCTTCCGACCCCAAGACTCACAGACACACGCTGAGTTCTCCAGAGCCATGTCTTATTGGGGCACATCTGAATGGTGCTCCTGTGATCGGTCACCTGTCTCTGCTTTGTACCCATAGTTAGGACTTTCTGGGTGAGGAGTATTCAGGAAGGACTTTCTATAAATAACTCCTCCTGCCACGGGGAGGCCAACGATGGCACAGCATGCAGCACGAAGGACACTTCCACGGGGCTGAGGTGGCGGGGGCAGGAAACAGAGCCCCGGCACTTAACCCGCACCACTGTGGGGGGGGGGGAGCCCCCCCACTCCCGAGAGTCATCGAAGCCATGCTCAGGCTGCACACACTGACTCGGTTTCCCCACAGGAGCCTCGTCAGTCCCAGATTATGGCTGTTCCGTATAATGCATGGCCTATGTCTGTGTTGTGCTTGCGAGTTATACATTTTGGTTTTGTCGCCCAGAAGCTGAAGGCAACCCGTTCGTACGAGTCTAGTAACGTGATGACCCTGACAGTTGGGGCTCACACAGGGAAGATGCCACCACCCACGCATTGTGGCCATTTGGGGCCGAGGGGGAAGGCTCAGCAGCTGCATGGAGGTGGCCCCTGAGTCCCCGGGGAGCAGGTGTTCCGTGGGCGTGTCTGATGGCCTCAGTGGCTCTCAATGCCGGATAGATACCGGAGCTGTTATATCTGCGGTTACATGCGGTCCTGGAGGCCTCCCTTCCCCTGAGAGGCCTGGGTGCCAGCCTGGCCTTGTGAGAGCACCACGCCAACCCCCCGGCTCCTCTGCCGGCTGCTGCCTTTCCATGGCTCTATGCTACCCCAGTTCCTGCTCACCTCCCCCAGCCCCTGGTGAGAAGGGCCCCAGTTGTCATCATGGGGAGTTTATCTTTCTTCAGTGACACCTCACAATGACACTCTTGGCACTGGTGGGCCGGGCCCTCCTCTCCTGGCTTGAAGTGGCAGCCTAGCATCCTGACTGCTCCAGGGCACAAGGCTGTCTGCTGGGCTCCCTGCTCCGAGGTATTGACCGCTGTCGCTTTAAACTCTGAGTGCAACCAGAGGTGGTCTCAATCACCAGGGCAGCTCCAGAGCAAAACCCTCGAGGTGACCTCCCTCAGCTCGCTCTTCCTCCGCCCGGTCAGGGCTCTCTCGGTGCTGTGAAGACCAAACTAATTACCTCGCAAACAATGCAGAGGCACCTTTCCCCAGAAGGGCCCTTGCCCTCTGCTAAACCCAGGTGAGCCTCGAGAGAGATAATGGCAGGAAGGCTGCGTCGGCTGGGCCTGCAGAAAACGGAACAAGAATTGATTTTCTCCCATCCCTGTCTGGGAGCTAATAGCTTCTGGTGACTCAAGAGCCTGGTGACTCAAGGATGAGGAAGTTGTGTGTTTAGTCACTTCAAACTGTCCCCTGGCCCACCAGTGACCTGCAGCTCCTGCAGATAATGAGTTTTGGTTTGATCGGCCTGGCCTCGTTAACTCACGCCTTCCTGTGCTGCGAGGGACAGCAGCTGCCCCGGTAACGATCCCCATCGGCCTTTCATGTCCAGCTCCCTGGTCTTGGAGAATCTGTCACCCCTCCTGCTTTTGCTGTCCCAGAGCCACTGGTGTGGGAAGACGGGTGTCTTGGTCACCCTCCCTGGGTCATGGCCTCAGGGACGGCCTCAGCTTTCCATCCATGGCTTGGGAATTTGGTGCTTCCCAGGGGGTGGGTGCTGGGTCTTGCTGGTGGGAGTGGGCTGTGTCCCAGCCACTGTATCTTTGGCTGCAGGGTTTTGGAGTGAGCAAACGCACATCAGTGGTGGAATGTCTGATGACCCACCTGGAGACAGGGTCCCGGAGCCCCTTTGTTAAAGGAGGTTGAGGTGCCAACAAAGCACAAACTAAGGAAATAGTGAAGATCTATGCACCCCTCGTTCACTGCACGTTATTTAGAATAGGCAAGATATGGAAGCAGCCCAAGTGCCCAGCAAAGGACAAGTGGATAAAGAACAGGTGATACATATATACAATGATAAATGACTCAGCTGAGAATGAAATCTTGCTATTTATGACAACATGGACAGATGTAGAGGGTAATATGCTGAGTGGAATAAGTTGTACAGAAAGTGTTGGCCAGGGTGGTTCAGTTGGTTAGGCACCATCCTATGCACAGAAGGTCACCGGTTCAATTCCCAATCAGGGCACATACCTGGGTTTCAGGCTTGATCCCCAATAGGGAGTGTGTGGAAGACAGCTGATATGTTATTTCTCACATCGATGTTTCTCTCTCTTCCTCTCCCTTCCTCTCTCTCTAAATCAATAAAAACGTTTCCTTAAAAATAAGTCGTACTGACACCTGGTCTGTGTGTTTAATGTTTAGAGTGGCAGCCCACACATCAAGGAGTCTCAGGTTCAATTCCCAGTCAAGGCCCACAGGTTTGATCCCTGGCCCTGCGTGGGGCATGTGAAGGGGCCAACCAGTCCATATGTGTCTCTCTCTCATGTAGATATTTCTCTGTCTCTGTCTCCCCCACCCCATCTCTCCCATCTTTCCACTCTCTCTAAAAGGCAATGAAAAAAATAGCCTTGGGTGAGGATTAACAAAACAATAATTGTGAGTCATACAGAGAAAGATGAATACCAGATGATTTCACTTATATGTGGAATCTAAAAAAAGAAAACAATGAACAAAACAAAACAGAAACAAACTCATACAGAGAACAAAGAGATGGTTGCCAAAGGGAAGGAGAGGGAGGGGCTGGGCAGAAAGGGGGAGAGTAAGAGGTACAAGTCCCACCTATAAGATAAGTCTCGGGGATAGGGAGCAGAGCCAGGAACAGCCTCCGGACCACACAGGGTGACAGATGGTGCTGGCCGTACTGTGGGGATGGCTTTGTCAGGTATATTCATGTAAAATCACTCTGCTGTACACAGGAGACTAATATAATATGGTATGCAAATTATAAGTCAAATAAATGTGTCAATAGATAAATGGTGGATCTTAGATGGCCTGCTGGCATCAGGATCACCAGGAGCTGCCCACCCTACAGAGCCAGGTTGGAGGCCGGGTCTGGGCCCAGCATGGGGCCTTGGGCAAGCTCACGTGGAGAATGGATGGAGACACTGCTCAGCGGGAGCCTCAGGTGTGCTCGGAGATGCCACCCTCCCAGAGCCCTGCCTCTGAGTACGGTGCGCACAAATACCACTGAACCAGACCCGCTTGCTTGCTCATTTCAGGGTCCTGGTGCCGGCGAGCCCACTGAGGCAGATGTGGAGGAGGAGACCCTGAAGAGAAAGCTGGAGGAGCTGACCAGCAATGTCAGTGACCAGGGGGCCTCTTCTGAGGAGGAGGGCAAAGACAAAGGGGCGGAGCTGGACAGGAGCACTTGCTTGGAGGACCTCCCCAGGATGACCCCAGAGGTAAGGCCATCCCCCGCGGTCTCCACAGGACACGGGCGGAGGTAGGGTCAATAGTCTGTAGCCAACCCAGCAGCCCAGCCCAGGGCAGGCACTGACCCCTGGGGGTCAGTGAGGGGTCATGACAAGGGCCACAGGGGGCCCAGCCCCTGGCTGACCGCCCAGCTCCAGGAGTGAAGAGGAAAGAGGAGGGTAGGATGAGGTCCTTGTTGGTGAAGCTGCAGTCTCTCCTGTCCTAGGTGTGCACATCTGCGGGCCAAACACACAGATGGGAAAAGAGCCCCCCGGGCTCCCAGGGCCCCCTGCAGACCACCAGGACCCCGGACGAGGCACTGTCGCAGCTGGAGGACAGGGTGGCCGTGACGGCCTCCGAGGTTCAGCAGGCGGAGAGCGAGGTAGCCCACAGCCTCGGGAGCAGATGGCTCCCCAAGACTGACCAGCGGTGGGGCCTTGACGATGTGACAGCAGGGGAGGGGCTCCCCAACGGCTCACGCAGGGGAGCCCCTTTGGCTTCAGAACAGGAGTTTGGGGGTCCCCGTGGGAATCACAGCCCCACCACCACCCGCTTGCCTCATCCCTGTCCCTTCTTCTTTGCTGTAGAGAGGGGCAGGCGGGGTTTGTAGCCACTGGAGGAAAATGCAGGCACTCAGGATGCCCCACCCCATGGAGGGGCTTCTCTAGAAGCAGTTAAGAGTTTAGGGCAGCCCAGGGCTCAGGACCACATTCTGGCCCGAGGAGCATGGGCCCAGAGCTTCGGTGTAAGGGTGGAGGTCTTGGTAGTGACTAAGGTCCGAGGACAGAGCAGGCCTCCCAGGGACAGTCACCAGGGGGTGATGGAGAACTGGGCTCTGCTCAGCCCTCCCCCCAGGGACCCACAGAGAAGAGAGGGCCTATCCTTCAGACTCTGTTCCCAGCTGGGGGTGACCCAGCCCCTCCCCAACAACCATGGCACTTGTGTGAAATGGGACCCCAGAAAGAACATCTGGGTGGGAAACACAGTAAAACTGGTGGATGAGGGCAGCTGTTCTCCCAGGACTGTGACGGGAGGTGGGACTCCTGAGGAACGTCTGTCTGTTTTCACTGACCCCCCAGGTGTCGGAAATCGAGGCCAGGATCGCAGCCTTGCGGGCTGCAGGGCTCACGGTGAGGCCCTCGGGGAAGCCCCGGAGGAGGTCTAAGCTCCCGGTGAGTGGACACTGCAGTGCCTGGAGCCTGGGTGCCCCGACTCCTGGCCAGGCCCACAGGGTGAGAGCCCTGGGCAGCCGTCTCCCCCTCGTTGAACTGCTGCCCCAGTGCCCTAAACAGCCATCCGTGGGCTGTGCCCTGGGAGCTCTTTTTCATTCATTGCTTTTCTAACTGGAGAAAGTGCTTTAAGAGGGACCCTCGGCGCCCAGGAGGGTTTGAAAGACACCAGGTGCACAGTTCAGAGTGCAGAGGAAGCACCTGAATGACAACACCATGTTGGCAGCTTAACAAAATGTCCCCAACATGGTGTGCCTAGAACAGGGGGTGGGAGGGCAGCAGGCCCCCACTTCCCCCAACATCTCTCCTGGGTCACGTTGGGGATGTTCAGGCAAAATCACACTGGTGAGGACACCTGCCGAGAATGAAAGACATTCCTGGGAGAGGCCAGGACAAGCCTGCCAGGTAAAATGCAGGGCGCCATTTTGCATAAACGATGAATCATCTTCCCGTGTGAGAATATCCCGTGCATCCTGGGGCATACGCTAAGGAATGGCTTGTTGTTTCTCTGGAATTCAGAGTAAATTGGCCGTTCTGTGTTTTAGTTTGCTAACCCTGGTCGTGCCCCTGTCCCAGCGCACTGAGTGACCTATCTGGCAGGGCCAGCGTGCCTGCCCCGCATTCCTGAGCGAGTGTCCAGCTGGCCCCGGGGCTGGAGGTGACACAGGGCAGAGATAACGTACAGGCTTCTTCCTTGTCCCCCAGATATTTATGCCCCGACTTGCTGGGAAATTGGGCCAGAGTCCCGAGGATCCACCTGCAGGCCCTTCAGATGGGGTTGAGGTGCGTGCTTCTCTCCTTCCCCCCAAAGCATGGACAAAGAGGGAAAGGTGGACACCCCTTCTCAGAGCATGGCAGGCCCAGGGGCCGGTGGAGAACTGGGCAAGCCTCACAGGCTGGTGCCTCAGATACACTGAGCCGAGGGTGAGAGCCGGAGGAACCCTCACAGCCCACGCCTCCCAACATGGGCAGCTCCCCCGAGCAAAGCACCTTTTATGTTCTGGCACTGGGTGCTTAACTGATTGACACCATGCATTTTAATATTGTTAACAGTTCAATTATTGTCAAAGAGCAGAAGTACTTAGAGTCTGGAAGAATAATGGGTCCCAAGTTAGCTCCCCTTGTTTCTAATTTACAATCGAGTGAAGCCCAGAGGTGTCTCCTTCCTTCCAGGTGATGGCGGGGCCCTACCTTCTGAGGAGGAAGTTCAGCAATTCCCCTGAAAGTCAAGGTGAGAGTCACCTGCGTCCCTCCTCCCCGCAGGCTGGGGAGGGGCTCTGGGGCGTGGAGGGAGGCAAGGCTCTGAACGTCCACATCATTTGTGGGACGCCACAGCCAATGCCCCTGCACCTGCAGGACGCTCTGGTGTGATGGGTGTCACAACCAGAGCCCTGAGGAGAGACGCTCCTGAGGATGAGTCCCCAGCCCCTCAGGCCGCTCCTGAGGATGAGTCCCCAGCCCCTCAGGCCGGCTGTCACATCACAAAAGGAAAGGAAAGGAGTGGCGGACCCCACACCAGTGCAGGGACCTTCCTATTGCTTTGTCCCCAGTGAGCATTTCTGGGCTCCAGGGAGGTAGGGTTTTCATGCCTGCTCCAAAGAGTGTTCCTTGGCACAGCTGCTACACTGTGGGTGCTTTGCTGAAACTATTGAATGCTGAGAGAACTTCTCGAGGAGGGGGGGGGTGTTATTTTTTTGCTACTTGGTTCATTTCCTGGGAGGCAAAGACACTCATTTGGGTGAGTGTGTGATTAATAAGCACGCCCCTGTGTTTTCTCCAAAGGCAAAGATGAGGAGTCCTTTGTCCGGAAATCTGTGTACCGCGGGTCCCTGACACAGAGAAACCCCAACGGCAGGAGGGGCACTGCCCACCACAGCTTTTTGGTAAGGATTCATCCGGCTCTCTGAGGTGTCTCCAAAATTCTGTGGCCTGTCAGGTTACTTGTTGGTATTAAGTCCTCAGAGAGAAGAAAATTGGGGTAAAATAACATGTAAAGTAAACTTGGCAAAAGACTTAAAAATCTTATATGTGCATGTGTGTGCATCCTTGTGCATACCCATCTGTGCATGTTTATTGTGCATGTGTGTGCATACCCATCTCTGCATGCTTGTGACGTGTGTGCACCTGTGTGCACACCCGTCTGTGCATGCTTATTGTGCATGTATGTTTGTGTATTGCAGAAACCTGTAATGACCCACCAGCCCTAAGGGGGAGAGGTTCTTGGGAACAGAACAGAGCAACAGAGCAGCCGGCCTTGCTTTCCCTCCCCCACAGCCATCATGCCCCCCCCCCATCTGCCCCGTACTCTCCATCCCACACCATCCAGTGGAGAAACAGGAAGAAACACCGTCCGTGATGGAACCCCACCTGTGAAATGAATTACGGTCCTCAGACCTGCAGTTGCTCACCCCCATTCATTGACAACTTCCCAGGCCACCTGGCCAGCCTGCTCCGATCCGTGAGAGACTTCTAAGCTGCATCTTCCCTTAGGGACAATGTTGTTTAAATTTTTTGAAGGACACACAGAAAACCTATTTGCCATGAATTTTCACCCCGTTCACTGCTGCCTTTCTCACGTTGGTTTCATAAAAGGAGCATAAAGGAATAACAGTGTACATCAGAGTGTGGGCTGGTGTGTGTGTATTCTGTGTGGGTGTAATTGGAGAAGGAAATTGGGCATCAATACAAAAAAGGAACTGAATTCATGGTCAGCTGAATAATGAGAGAGGAATAGAGCCCCTGACCACCCCCACCCCCACCCCCCAATATATACCTATTCTGCAAGTTCATCTGTGGGTCAGAGACTGGGAGACATTGCCCTCTGGTCAAGGGCAGAGCATTCACGTGGTAGGAATGGCATATGATCAGTGTCCAGACACAGACCTACAGGACCTGTGGGGAGAGGCAGTGATGGAAATGTACACAAGGCAGCAGCCTGGGGCTCAGAGGGCCAGGACCCGTGAGTGGTGCCCGCCAGCCACTTGCCGCAAATTCCATAGATGAGCCCTAAGTCCACCATCTCAGACAGGCTGTAGGACTCAGGGCTACTTCTGGGTGTCTGTGTGGCTCGTTCAGTTGTAAGAGGAGCCCACTGTGAGCCTCCAGAGCTGCCTTTGGGCACAGAAACTGACCATATCGCCCATCGCAAGCCTGGCTGTGCCTTTGTAGGTTCCCTGGTTGGTTTAAACCTGGGATCAAATTTAAGCCTGTTTGCCGAGGAGGACATGGAGCCTTTGGTGCGAGGCAGTCCTCCTGGAGCTCCTTCTGTGGTTTCTGTACTCCTGAAGTGATGTTGGGTGAGCTCCAACCTTGCGCTCTCAATGGGTGTGTTGTCCAATTCACCTGGTACCTGTAAGAGGAAGAAGGAGAAGTGATGCCCAAGGGCCTTCAATGATGAGATTTCTTCTGACCTGACTGCGGACAAGCCCCACCCACAGCTGCACAGATTCCACCCTGAGCCATTGTCAGGTCACCACAACAGCTCCCGGTGCAAAGGCAGCCTCCCGGGAGTGGAATGAGCCAGCCTCAGGCTGTGCTGGGATTGGTGGAAAAGGTGGATCTGTGGCCCCTTCTCGGAATGGAGGCTGGTTCAAGGGTGTTGCTCCCAAGTCAATGCTACAAATGATTAAAAGATTCCCATAAATGGAAGGGAGATCAGTTTTTTATGGACACCTGTCCTTATTCACAAAGTAAACTAAAGTCAAGGTGAGCTCCTAGGAGTCAAAGGAGACACAGTTCTGGCTGCCCTACATGTCTCTGCGTATTCCTACGACAGGACAAGGTGCTGTGTCCCAGAACCTGCTCTTGGCCACCTGTGCTCTGTTCACACTGCGCTTGGTCCACGACCAAGGTCTCCCTGAGGAGCTACTAATGCCCAGAGCAGTCGCATAGCCATCCCTCCAGCTCCTCCAACACCTGCCACCACCACGGAACTCATCAATTCTCCCATCCACAGCGCCCCCATCCACAACGCTCCCATCTGAGCCACCCAGTCCTGGAGCCAGAAACCCCAGGCCCAAGCCCCCAGCCCTGTGCCTTCCTGCCCCTCATCAGACCACACCCTATGCTTTGTATCTCCCAAATCACTCCCAAATTCTCAATTCCCCTCAGTCACCTCATGGATTTTTCCAACAGGAAAAATCCCTTGCTATCCTGGGATAAAACTCACTTGGACAAGATAATGAGGTTTTTAATATATTGCTGAATTTGTTACTTTAATATTTTATTTAAAGGGGGAGGTTGAAAAGGTAAAGGGAGAATAAATGGTGATAGAAAAAACATTTTATTTAGGGGTTTTTCCCTCATCTGATGCCTTTAATATTTTGTCTCCCACTGTCTACAGACCCACTGGTGAAGCCCCAGAGTGGTGGGCACCAGTGCCACTCTGTGACAAAGCTACTTTGCTGACAGGGGTTTACTGTCCCCCATACACACACAGGCACACATGTATGTACACACAGGCATATGTGTGCTCACACACTTGTACTGGCACACATGCACACATACATACATGTACACACATGCTCCCATGGCGATGCCCAGACAGCTGCCTCCAGGTGACCCTGATTGCCCACATATCTGTGGGGACCACCCGAGGGCTGCCTCTAAGACAGGGGCACATCTCCAGACTGCGATCCTTCCCCACGACTTGTAAGAAACACCCCTGAGCACTAGGCCACCACTACCACTGAGACACCCCCAGTTCTGATGGAATCCATCCCCAGGGACCTCACCTGCAGCCACCATCACAGCCCCACACCCACCCTCCACTGCCCAGGCCCCAGTCACGTGCCCTCTCACCAGTGCCCACAGACTCTAGTCCCACAGGGAGCCTGCTGGCCACCAGGAATGGGCAGCCAATCCCCAGAGGGGGAGATACAGTCCTGAAGAATTTCCAAGAAGTGATGGTCACATGGCATGTCCTTTCACAACCTACAAGCCTGAGGGGGCTACCCAGGTCTCCTCCCCCAGCTCAGGCTCCCTGACCCTACACTCAACAGCACTTAGTGACCTTTGACATAACCTAATTATTCAGAATACAAATGAGTTAGGTGTCTAGGTCCAAGTTAAATGATAGGATATTCACTTATTTCAACTCGAAGATTTAACTGTTAAATGAAAAGATGAGACTCAAAAACATATAAATATGATGAACTGGCCCAGAAAAGATGTGGGAAACCAATAGGAGGAAGCACATCACCTGTGAAATGATCCACTTCTTTGCTTTTATTGTGCTTTTTTTTCTCGTTTTTTTCTTTCTTTCTATTTTTCTGCATGTGTTAATTTCTTTCCAGATGTATATAAATTGCCTTTACAATAAAATTCAACAGATTTTTTTTTCTGGTAATAATAAACTTGCCCATTGAAAACATCAATGATGAAGACTCGTAAACACCTTGAGAGGAAACTCTCTTAAGCTGTGAAATGGACGAGAGTCGATTGTGTATGAGAATGTCGCCATGGAAAGCCACAGATGGAGGAGGATCGTGGAGATGTGACACCGCCGTGTCCGGCGTGGTCCTTCTCCGTTCACCGTGATTTGGAGGAGGCGGAGGAGTGGCTGCACGGTCACCCTCTGTGCGGGAGGCAGTGGCTCATGTGCTGCCCAGACTGTTGACACCTGACTTTGCCGTGTCCCCAAGGCGGGCGTGAAGAAGGAAGGCTAATGTGTTTTAAAACCACTTGGCCCAAATGAAATTATATAACCCAGGAAGGGACAAATCACATCGCTGATGAGAGTTTAAAAAAAAAAAAATAGAAGAAAACAAACAAAGACTCAGATGTCCCCTTGTGCGGGAGGCGGGGGCCAAGGGGTGAGGGGGGCATCAGGGGGCTGGGCTGCTTCCTCCTGGGGCTATAAAAGGGGTACACTGGCTCCCGCTGCGTCACACTCAGGACACCGGCCTCCTCAGCACCATCATGGGGAACAGTGGTGAGTAACCCAGGGGACTGTCACTCTGCAAATCTCCCTCTGGGTCCGGGCCATACTGGCTCTTCCAGCGGTGAGGCTGGCTAGCACTGGGTGGGATGGGCAGGGACAGGCAGGGCAGCCACCCCACGGTTTATGTGCCTGAGGGCCACGCCTGCCTGTCCAGGGCCCTCAGTATTCAAGTGCTGTCCATGGTGAAGGCAAAGGGGGGAAGCCACCCCTGTATCGCACTGACAATGCAGACGGGAATCCCCCTGGACAGACAGCAAAAACCTCCCCCTGGGGATCTAGATCTGCTAACCTTCTCCCGAGCTGCCCTCCATCCAGCATGAATCCCAGCCCCTGGGGAGGAGAGAGCAGCATCTCTTTGCACTCTGTTCTCATGGTGGCAACTCCACTTTCTGAGTCGAGGTCCCCCACCCCCTGAGTGACACCAGAAAAGAAAAGGGTGGGCATTTAAAACCACCCAGGTGGGCAGCACTTTCTGAGTGGCTCAGGACAGGCTGGAAAGTCAAGGTGGACAGAGGGGTCCAGACAGGGCGGGGAACCTGACCGAGAACCCAGCAGGAGGAATTGCTGGATGGGCCAGTTCAGGCAGGTCCCTGCCTCCACCCACAGGACAACATGCATTTCCTGGCTCCTCTGCTGCCCGCAGTGCCCCTGTCTGTAGGGGGTGGCCCTGCTGCTGGTGGCAGATCCCAGGGGTCATGGGGAGGGGGTGCTCTTGGTACAGACATAGGACGCTGGCCCTCCTGCAATGCCCAGCTGTCCGCTCACGTCCCCTAATGTGCCTGGGGGCAGGACTGGACAGGCGGCAGAAGGTCCTGGGCCGAATGAGGGAAAGAACCCTGCACTGGGGCCCCAGCCCCTGAGCCTGGCCCATGCCTCATCCCCAATCCCCAGCAATGACTCAGGCTGGGCTCCCTCCACCCCTGCAGCTCCTCTGGGCAGCTCCCCACAAACCTGCTCCCTTCTACCCTCCCTTCTCAGGCCCGGGTGCACAGCACACAGCTATGCAGAGGCCTCCCGCATCCCCAGCTTCCTAACACAGACAGACTGACAGTCAGAGCTGCTCCAGACAGCCTGCCTCCCCACCCACAGCTTACATACCTCCAGTTTCTTCTGAGGAACACAGAGGCTGTGCCCACATGACGGAGACACAGAGGCTGACACACAGGACCACCTCATTTAATACTCACTGTGCAGAGGACAGAATGGGGGCCTGATGAGGCGCAGGACTGCGCCAGGTGGTCTGCTACTTCTGTGCTCATGCCCACC